TAAGGTCATTGCCTGTGGGGTGATTGGCCTGGCAAACAAGGACAACAACTACGAGACGAGGGAGGCGATGAGCAAGCGGCTGGCAGCGGCGGTCAACCAGGCCGAAGTTTAAGATGATGAAAAAGATTTTAGAAAAGAGAAGAAGAATTTTAGATCAGATCAGAACTTGTCTAATATTTTATTTTCTCTCTTTCTGTTAGCTCAAACTCAAACTCAGACTACAGTTTTTAAATTTTTCAAACCTTTCTGTTATTTAAACCTTTCTTTCCGATACTAAAATTTTTCAGTTCAATCTTTTCCTCACTCAAGGTGTGTGTGTGCTGTTCTGTGCTGTACTGTTGTTGCAACAATTTAAAAAAACAAAACTTTAAATAGATATTGAAAAAATAGTGCGGCTTTTTATCGTGTTCAGTTTTGTAAATTGATTTTCTTGGTCTTTCTTCTTCCTCACTGACAAAACAAAGCAATTAAAATCTAGTTTTCTCTTTCTCTCTTTTGCTAATCGTTACACTGCTGATCAGATGATGCTGACTGATGTTTAAATTGTTTTGTTATTGTTTTTGTTTTGTTTATTTCTTTTTGTCTTTTCTTTGATTGACTACAATTAAATGATCTTGAGCTGATCATTGATTCACTGATCCAATGTCAAAACGGCGAGGAAAAAATAATAAAAGTTGGCCATTGCCAGGCCAAGATAAAAAACTTGCTTGAAAGAAGCACTGAAAACAAAACCTCTTTATTACTTCTGTTTCCTTCAAAACTTAATGTTATTTGATTTGATGTGTTATTGCTATTACTATCATTCAGAAGATTATTCCATCCATCCATCCCTGCCTTGAGGGCACATCTTTTGCTGCTCTAGTAAACAAAAGACTACAAAAACTTAAGCTCCAATTGTCCAAATGTGCACTGCAACTTGTAATTTAATAGGCGTCAAAATTCTTTCTCTCTTCTTTTTTGCCACAGAGAACAAATCTTTTCTACTTGCTCAAAACAAACATAAACACTGACACAATTGAGAACACAACAATTTACAACTTGGATAAATTGTAATAGCAAAAACGCCAAGTTTGAACATTTTTACAGTTTAACAAAAGAAGCATTATTAAATTGGCAACATTTTAAGGGCACATCGCAGCACACACACTTGACAAGTCATTGTTGTGTCAAACAGTGTCAAATAAAATAAAAATGCATTATTCAATGCTGATGTACAACAGCAGCAGCAAAACGTGTTGCAAAATGTAGAAAATCCCTCAAAAGAGCTTTTTCATTACAAAGAAAAATTGTTGCATCTCATCACACACACACTCACGAGCGATTAGATGATCAAATCAAACGCTTCGATTATAATAATTTCACCGTTTATTATTACCTAATCTAGCAGCAGCCTTAGCCAAACGCCGATCACTAATTTTAAAAATAGACAAATAGTAGCCAACAAACAAATCGATTACCTCTGCTAAACATCTTTAGCAGCAAACTTTTCTTCTCACTCAATTTACGTAATGGTCGATGCCCCCAACAAAACTCAACAACAGAAGTAACAATAACAGCAGCAAAAGTGGGAAAAAGAAAAATGATCGTTGCGACAGTGTGTGAACAACATCAGAAGTGCATCAGAAGTACATCAGTAAAGACGAAAGTTTGTCAGTTTCACAGTTTATTTGTCAGTCAACTCTCTTAGTCAGTTCAGTCAGCTCAGTGCAACAGGTGGTTCCCTGCTAACTGACTGAGCTGACTGGAAGACTTAATTTTGCAGTGACTGATGTGTCTGTGTGAATTTGACAGTGTCAGCTCAGAGCTCAGAGCTCAACTCAGTCAGTTCACTCTGCCACTGCATTAATTAGCAGGAGCAACCACACTCTTGACCGCCGTTAATGACCCCACACGCCATTGCCCGATCCAGGCAGGCAGGCACAGGAGAAGTCCAAGTTTTACACGAGTGTCAGGCAAGACAAGGCGTTGTCCATAACAACAGGCAAAAAGCTAGCAAAACTGTCCGCTGCAAATTTGCACGCTTGTCGTACTATTGGACGAGTGTGCTTGATGGTCAATTACTCAAATGCTGTGTCCTGTAAGTCAAAGTAGTGGTCAGCTTTGCCCTTGAAGATTGGAAACTGTTGCTGCTGCTGCTGCTGCTGGGGCAGCCTCAACAGCAGCGGCAGTGATTTCCCCCTCCTGCTCACTTTGACTTTGACTCGTTTGATCTTTTTCCCCACTACATCTCCATCAGCATCAGCATCAGCACCACTCTGCACCTATTAATTATCATCCTCTCTCTTATTCCTCCTCCACCTTCTCCTTCTCCTTCTCCTCATCGTGATACTGATCTTAGATGCCAAAGTCTGAGATTAAGATTAAAAGTGATAGTGAGAGAGAGAGATTAAGAGGGAGAAAAAATCAAGAGTGAGAAAGCAGTTTGCACAGTGTCCATTTAATTGAGCATCCTTCGACGCTGCTGCTGCTCACTTCACTTCATTCTCTCTTTTTTTTCTCCCACTTTCTCTTCAAAACAACAAAACAGCATCAGCTGCGGCTTTTCTCAATGGCAAAGAAGTACAACAACATACAAAACACAAAACACAAAACACCGTTTCTCTCACCACGCATTTCGCAACACACAGTCACTCTCACTTTCTCACTCGCATTATTTTCCGCTGCCATATAAAAGCCAACTGTCCAGCACTGACAGAGGAGCAAACACACTGCCGTTGTGAAAATATCCATTTTATCTCATCAGCTAAACTCACCAAACAAACACTTAGTCACAATGAAATTCTTCATCGTAAGTTCATTCAGCCGATGATCTCAAGAACCTTATTTTCAACTTCTTTTTCAACTTTCAACTTTAAAAATCTTTTTTAGATCGCCGCTCTCATCTCGCTGGCCGCTGCCAACCCTGCTCTGCTCGTCGGCCACGGTGGCCTGGGAGGTTATGGCCTCGGAGGTGGTCTCGGCGGCTACGGAAATGGCCTCCTCCTTGACGGTGGTCTTGGCCTCGCCGGTCACGGCGCCGCCCCAGCCGGCCTTGGAGGCCACGGTTTCGGCCATGGAGGACACTTCTCGCCAATGCCCGTGCAGACCATCCAGCTGGTGCCCGTGCCGCAGCCCGTACCAGTTGCCCAGCCCATTCCCGTTGATAAGCCGTACGCCGTGCCCATTGACAAGGTTAGTACTGAAGCGAAGAAAGGAAAAGAGATTTTATCAATGATAAGCTTTTGTATAAGCAAAGTTTTAACTCTTAACCCATTTGTTTTTGTTCTCCTATCAATCATTTAGCCATACACCGTCCCCGTTGACCGACCAGTAAGTTGCTATTTTTCTAAACTAAGCTTATCAGTTTGCTGATAAACAAAATTAATTACTCTAGGTCCCCGCCCCGTACGTCGCCAAGGTGATCCAGCCGGTCGTGCACAAGCAGACCGTCGTCTCCAAGGCCATCCTCAGCCACGGCGTCGGCCATGGCCTCGGTGGACACTACTAAACATCATTTTCATCAATTTATCATCTAATCAATCAACATCATCAATTGAACATCTCGAATCAGAAAAAAGCACCCCAAGATCTTTGATTACCATCGTCACCATCATTTTATCAAGTTATGTCGAGTCATGTCAATGAAAGTGTATAGAATGCGATTTGATCACAATAAAAAGAAAGATCTGCTCATAAGAAAAAGAAGAAGTTTTGTTTGTTCAATTAACCAAAATAAAAGTGGTAACAGTTTTTTCAAGTCATACAAAATGCAAGACGTTGGGTGGTGCCTAGTGATAAACTTTCGCACTTTTTTTCTTTAAAAAAGATTTTCTGTTTTCATTGTCTGGGCATTGGCATCACCGGTATCACCGGCGGCGGCGGCATCAACGGCATCATCGGCGTCCCCATTGGCACCACCGGAATGGGCGGCTCCATTATCGGCGCCATCATCTCGCCATAGCCAAAACCGATCCCAAAACCAAACTCTTCAAAACCTTCCTCTCCGCCTTCTTCGTAGTACTCTTCCTCGTAGTAAGGATCAACTGGAAAGGCGGAAACGTTGCAGGTAACAGCTAGAAAGATGAAAAATAGAAAGGGGACATAAAGAAGAAATTGGTTCATTTTTTGAATTGGCTGGTTTGGTGTTTTTGATGACTGTAAAACTT